GTCTGGGGAATACCCAAGGCTGGACAACTACATGGCTCACAATTCAGGAGTGCTTTTTTTTTTTTTAATTTTTTTTAAAGAAAGGCAGAGAGAAAGAGAGAGCTTGCATCTGTTTATTCACTCCCCAAATGGCTGCAACGGTCAGATCTGGACCAGGCTGAAGCGAGGAACTTAGAACTCCTCCTGGGTCTCCCACGTGGATGACAGCGGCCCAAGCGCCTGGGCAATCTTCTGCTGCCTTCCCAGGTGCATTAACATGGGGCTGGATCAGAATTAGGGCAGAGGGGTTGAACCAATGCACAGGTAGGGTGCTGACATAGCAGGCAGCAGCTTTGCTGGCTCTGCCACCATGCCACCTTCCCCTCCTCCAGATCTAGAACTTGAAGAGCACAGCATTGGCACAAGCTCAGCTGTGGTGAAAGTGTTTGGCAGATGCACCGCGGTGGGAGCTCATGCAGAGAGGAAAGAATCTAAACCAAATATAGGAAGCAGGATTTTGAGCTCAGGGAGTGACATCTCACCAGGCTGGGTCAAGTGCTTGTTCTTTGGGGCTCCTGCAAGGTTGCCATCCCCTTTGGGTCCCTGGTTGTGCAGCCTCAGCATCTTCAAGCCTCCGTGCCTGGCAAGTCTGCTCTGGCACTCTGGCTTGATCTGTTCTCGGCTAGCTGTGTGGCGTTGGTCAGGTGATTTCCTTTGGGGGAACCCCGTAGTTTCTCATCCAGGAGGAATTGGAGTGGGCTAACAGAGGCGCACCACATCGGGACATAGGGGCAGTTGGAGTATTCTGGCCTCACTGCCCCCACCAGCCCTGCTGCCACCCCGCCTCCCAGCTCCTGCTGCCTCCCCGTCCCTCCCTCCCTCCACCTTCCCCCTTGGAACCTGCCCTGGGCTCTCTGCAGAGCTCTCATGCTTTGCTGTGTCCTTGGCTCAAGGACAATCAGGGGTTTGCTGAGCCCTTCAATGAATGAGGCTGCCTGAAAGTCCAGTGTGTGTGTGTGTGTGTGTGTGTGTGTGTGTGTGTGTGTGTGTGTGTGTGTGTGTGTATACAGGCAGGCAGCTCCTGAAGGCTAGGGTACCAACTGCAGGGTACTGAGGGGCACCTGTTCCCCCACCCCTTTCCCAGGACACTCATAAATATTCATGAGTCAGCCAGCCAACCAGCCTGCCTGCCTGCTGTTGGGTGTCATTGGAGCGCTCTTGTCTCCCAGTGACCACAGGGAATCAGCCGTGGCTCGGGCAGGGAGAAGAAAGGGACAGCCACCACTGAGGTGAGTGTGGTCCCTCTTCCCCTGTGACGGGGGGAGTCAGGGGGTGAACAGGACACTCTGGGACGGAGGCCTGCCTGGTGGAGGTGGTCCAGGCTCAGGTTTCCCATCCTGCTCTCGGTTTCCATGTGCACTGCTCTGCTGCTGTTAAACAGCAGGGTGACTGGGCCTGGAAGCCTGCACTGATGGAGGTTTGCTATGGCTAGGGTAGCGCAAGGTGGGGGAAGGTCCAGAATGGATGGGCTGGCTGTAGATGGACCCTCCCCACGGGTAGAGGAAGCAGGGGACTCTGTTTCTAGTCTTATGTCTGCTGCTGCTGTGCTGTGCAACCTCCAGGGTGGCCCTCTGACACACAACTTCTCCTGCCTCTCTCTTCAGCTCCAAGGCCATGGGGGACCCTGGGGGAGCTTGGCCTGTATCTAAACTGGCTGGGGCCCTGTAAGATGGGGGCAGCAGTGCTGGCCGGCCATGTCACTGACCATCCACCTGCATGAGCAACCCTGGGACGAGGGGTGCGGAAATGCAAAGGGTCTGCCCAGCACCCTGCAGGGAGGGTCGATGTCACCGGTGTAGAGAACTTGAGGCCCTGCGAGTGCCACAGGCTTGCCTGGAACACCCAGCCGGAAGACAGCAGAGCCGGGATTCAGAAGAGGGCTGTTGGGTTAGCACAGCAGTTAAACCATTGTGTCCATGATCCAGTCTACTCTATTTTTGTTTGTGTTCATTTTATGATTTTATGATTTTATTATATATATATTATTATTTTTTGCTAAGGGAACTGGTTCCATGTTACACGCATGCTCCAGTACACGCTTGGCTGTCACACATGTGACTCCCGTGTCACACTCTCCCTCCTGGAGATGGAGACACCCACCCATCTCCTGCCTGGCCCGGCTGTTGTCTGCCTGTACCATGCTCTCTGGCCCGCTCCGTGCCTCGTGTGTGTCCACCGTGTGTCCCAAGGGAGGAGTCACGGGGGTGGGGTCATTCATCAAACATTCACCCTGTGCCAGGCCCAGCAAGGCCCGGGGATGAGTCACCGGTGGACTCAGTGGGGACCTGCATCTGCACGTTCAGGCTCCGGAGTTGATAATGGTGATGAGATTTCCCCACGGTCACTATTAATCATTAAGGCTTATTGATCTCTCCTTGAACCTCACCTTCAAGCCAGGCTCCTGGCTGCCCACTGAGGGAGGCCTCCTGGGGTCTCTGTTTACTCCATGGGGCGGTGGGTGGGAGGGCTCTGCCTGGGGTTGCAGAAAGCTAGGCAGCTGCCCAGATGTACATCAGAGAGGCCAGACATGAAGGAATCCCCGAAACCTTGGGCCATATCAGATGGCCAGCATAGGAGGGACCCATCACCAGAGCTGCCTACAGATGTCCTCTCATCCTGACTGCTTGCTCAGCCCTCGGATGGCAGACCCTGCTGTGCCTGCCCCCTCCTGGCCATGTGCAATACCTTCTCCGGCCTCTGCCCCTTCCTGCTTGGGGCTTGAGATACACCTTGTGGGGATGGCAGGAATCGGGAAGAGAGTGGAGGTCTGAAGCCTAGCCTGTTGCTGCCTTGTGGAGCGACCCTGGGCAGGTCACATAGCTCTGGAAGTCAGGGTGCACTGAGGGGGAACGGTGGGGTGGAGATGATGTCTGGGAGGAGTCAGGAAGTTCAACCCTAAGGCTGAGATGACCCGGTCCCCTCTCATCCCCATGTCCCAGCAACCAGCTGGACCCAGAACACCGCAGGGGTTGGTGCCCAGGTTTGAGGAAGTTCAGCTAGGAGAACAAAATGAATGAACGGAATGAGCCAGTAAGAAGATGGAGGGAGTGGGGTGGGGGCGAGGCCAGGAGAAGCCTTGATTGGCAGCTGGGAGGCCGCTCTGCCCCCTGTTGCCCAGCCTGAGCTTCACTTAGAGCCTGCACCCACACAGCCGCTCCCTGGAGCTCTGAGACGCACTTCGGTGAGTGGAGCAGCTGAGGCGGGGGGTGGGCCCTGGGCTGTGCAGAGGGGAGCACGCCCCTCCCCAGAGACCCCATCCCTTCGCCCCTAGTTCAGAGGAGAGAATCAGGAGGCCCAGGGAGGCCTGAGGACCGTTTTAGGCTCGAGTCCCTGAGGCTGGCTGTGTTTGCTGCTGGGCCCCTAGGGGGCAGGAGACTGAAGTATTGAAGGAGGGTCCCCCAAAACACACACACACACACACACACCCTGGCCACACCTTACCCAGGGCTGGGAGCAGGCCCCCCAGGGATTCGGGAGGCTTGAGGAGAATCCTGGTCCCTTTCTCGGAGCCCAGCTTCTCCACTGGGGAGGAGAGGAGGGGCTCCCAGCACTCCCCGCTCTGCTGCACCAGCATCACAGGGCTGGCTGTGAAACACAACCCTGAAGCTCAGGGCCTGTGGGCCGGCTCCTGTGTCTGCTCAACCCCCTCTGGCCTCCAACCTTGTTGGGGTTTTTGGTTGGTTTGTTTTTAATATCTCCAGATGACTTCTCTGGGAATGGACCTTGATTTATGTCACGGGTCCTCAGTCCTTGTTGTTGTTGTTCCGTTTCTGATAAAGCTGTGGTAACCGTCTTTGCTGAGGTGACTTTGTGTGCTTGCCCAAGTGTATCCTTCCTATGGTGCACAGTCCAAGAGGCTCGGAGGGAAACTGAGGGTTGGAGGACTGGGGCTGAGGGTGTATGTGTGTATGTGTGTGGGAGGGGGGTTCCCTGTGATTCTGTGACACCACCACCTCTGGAAATATTCCCCACTCCCAACCCTGACCCCCTTGCCAAGCCAACAAAGGGCCTCGCTTTCCCAGGGTCAGGGAACGGGGGTGGGGAGTGTGAAATCCTCCCCTGAACCAGGGAGGCTTCTGTCCCTAAGGATGGTGGCCATGGAATTTCCCATGTGTGTGCCGTGACAAGTGAGTATGTGTGACCTCTGCTTGTGGCCTTAGGGACTTGGGGCCTGGTGCTGTGTGAGCCAGGAGGAAGAGTGGAAAGTTTTGGGAGCTGGTTTTGCAGCTCCCTGAGCTGAGGCAGTGGTAGTGAAGGGTGGCAGTGCAAGCAGTGGGGGGGTCTCTCCCGGACTGACCCCTTGGCCTAAATGGTCCCTGTTTTGCACATTGGGTTGCCTCGTTCAGATTTATCCTTTCCCTCAAATAAATCAAAAGGACAATGTTTAGGACACCCAGTTAAGCTGGAATATTAGTTATTATTATTATTATTTTATTTTATTTTTAAAAGTATATATAAGTATATCTCATGCAAGATTTGGGACCTACTTATACTAAATGTGTTTTGTTTTTTTCAATCCATCACCTGTCTGAAATTCAAGTTTAGGCAGTCTGACTTGGGGAGGGGGAGATGAAGCACTCCCCTGGCCCCTCACGGGGCAGGTGGGAGTAGGGAGACATGGGGCCCTCTGACAGATAAAGGTGCCAAGTTCAAGGAACCCCACCCCGATCTTGGGAGGAGGGGTCTGCCGCTTCCTTTTTCCTTTCGAAGCCCTCAAGGGGCATGAAGAACGGGGCCATGTCGCTCAGCTGCCTCCAGAATGGACCCAGCCCCGCGCCAGGGCGCAGCGTGGCTTAGCCCTCTCCTCAGCTTCCCCACAGCGACCCCGTGTCTGTCTGTCTCTGTCACTTCCGCCCGCCGGCGCCCCCTTGACCTTGCCTGACAGGAACCCCGCTGAGGGGCGGCTGCTGCACAAACAGTGGCGCCCCCAGCCGGCAGGCGCTCCTGACGCGTCTCTCTCCCCTCAGGTGTCTGAGATGCCGCCGCCACCCCAGAAGAAACGCTGGGAGTCCATGGCCAAGGGGCTGCTCCTGGGCGCGCTCTTCACCAGCTTCTTGCTGCTGCTCTACTCCTACGCCGCCCCCCCGCTGCACGCAGGCATGACCTCCTCGTGAGTGGCGGGGTACCCAGGAAGGGTTGGGGGGCGGCGGGGGTGCGGTGGGGGTGTGGTGGGGTGTGTATGCAATGGGGAGGTGTGTGGTTCCCTGTGATTCTCGCCGCTCCCACCTAGGTAATCCTAGCAACCGCTCCCCATCCCCGCCTTGCCCCACCCCGTACTAGGCTGTACCGGACAGAAATTCCCTGAAGGTGAGGTTGGGGGAGAGCAAGTGGAGACAAGAACTTGGTGTGCCCACCTGAGAAATGGGGGCAATGGTGGCGTCCATCTTACGGGGTAGCAAGGGTTCACTCTGCCTGTGGACAGGGCTCCAGTAGCAGGGCCAGGAATCTCCCCTAAACATCAGGCCATGTCCCTCGCCACGGGTGGGTTGCAGCATTAGGTAGGAAGGTATTGCATGGCACCAGAGGAGATTGCTGGTCATGGATTCCGTTCAGCTTGTAACAGCATGTTTATGGAAACTGATGGCAGTTTCCCCACAATGACCACACGGATCTGCCTCCCTTAACGTGCTTAACATGTGCCTCTGTTACGGACACTGAAAACGGGGGGTGGGGGGGAGGGCTGCCCTTTTCACAGATGAGGAAACCCAGGCCAGAGACAAGAGAACCGCTGGTTCAGGCATCCACGCGGGGCCCAGGCTCCTGATGGTACACCCATCCCATATCTCCTTGTAAGATTTATGGGGCTGATTTGGTGACTCATCAAGTTAATCTTTCATCTTACAGTGCAGGTATCCCATACAGGCACCAGTTTGTGTCTCCACTGTTCCACTTCCCATCCAGCTCCCTGCTTGTGGCCTGGGAAAGCAGTCAAGGACAGCCCAAAGCCTTGGGACCCTGCACCCGCGAGGGAGACCTGGAGGAGGCTCCTGGCTCCTGACTGGATCAGCTCTGGCCATTGCAGCCATTTGGGGAGTGAATCAGGGGACAGAATATCTCTGTCTCTCCTTCTTTCTCTGTAAAATCTGCCTTTCAAAGAAAAATAATAATTCTTTCTTTTTTTAAAGATTCATTTATTTTTATTGGAAAGTCAGATATACAGCGAGGAGGAGAAACAGAGAGGAAAATCTTCTGCCTGATGATTCACTCCCCAAGTACTGCAACGGCCAGAGTTCAGCTGATCCAAAGCCAGGAGCCAGGAGCCTGTTCCTATATTTATCAACTTCAAAGGCAGAGTTACAGACAACTTCTGTCCACTGGATCCCACTCCAAGTGGCCACGATGGCCAGGGCTGGGAGAGGTCCAAGTCAGGAATCAGAAGTTAGGAACTCCATCTGGGTCACCTGTGTGGCTGTGGAGACCCAAGCACTGGGCCAGTCTTTCATTAGCTGGGAGCCAGTTGGGCACCTTTACCTTCTGCACCACCATGTGGCCCTGTCCTCCCCGTATCCCAGCTTCCTGTCTGAGCCCAGGCCATGGGTGCTGAACCCCCCGGGGAGGCTCTCCTGGCCCCCCACAGCAGGCTCCCTCCTTGCCTCCCCTATCCCCCTTCACCACTGCTCTCTTTCCAGCAGGCCGCAGGAGGACACAGCACCCTGTTTGCCACCCCCAGAGGAGTCAGAGCCAGCACCAACCAGCAATAGCTCTGCGTGCCAGCCTCGCCGCAACATAGTGTTCATGAAGACGCACAAGACAGCCAGCAGCACGCTGCTCAACATTCTGTTTCGCTTTGGCCAGAAGCACGGGCTCAAGTTCGCCTTCCCCAATGGCCGCAACGACTTCGACTACCCGGCCTTCTTCGTGCGCAGCCTGGTGCAAGACTACCAGCCTGGCGCCTGCTTCAACATCATATGCAACCACATGCGTTTCCACTACGACGAGGTGCGGAGCCTCGTGCCGCCCAATGCCACCTTCATCACGGTGCTGCGCGACCCCGCGCGCCTCTTCGAGTCCTCCTTCCACTACTTCGGGCCGGTGGTACCCTTGACTTGGAAACTGACGAGCGACGACAAGCTGGCCGAGTTCCTGCAAGACCCCGAACGCTACTACGACCCCAACGGCTACAACGCGCACTACCTCCGCAACCTGCTCTTCTTCGACCTGGGTTATGACAGCGGCCTGGACCCGCGCAGCCCGCAGGTGCAGGAGCACATCCTTGAGGTGGAGCGCCGCTTCCATCTGGTGCTGCTGCAGGAGTATTTCGACGAGTCGCTCGTGCTGCTCAAGGACCTGTTGTGCTGGGAACTGGAGGACGTTGTCTACTTCAAGCTGAACGCCCGCCGCGACTCAGCCGTGCCCCGGCTCTCGGGTGACTTGTACCGCCGCGCCACGGCCTGGAACATGCTGGACGCGCGCCTCTACCGCCACTTCAATGCCAGCTTCTGGCGCAGGGTGGATGCCTTCGGGCGCGAGCGTATGGCCCGCGAGGTGGCCGCCCTGCGCTGCGCCAACGAGCGGATGCGCCGCATTTGCATCGACGGAGGTCAGCCCGTGGATGCGGCCGCCATCCAGGACGAGGCCATGCAGCCCTGGCAGCCCCTGGGTGCCAAGTCCATCCTAGGTTACAACCTCAAGAAGAGCATCGGGCAGCGGCACGCGCAGCTCTGCCGGCGCATGCTCACGCCCGAGATCCAGTACCTGATGGACCTCGGGGTCAACCTGTGGATCACCAAGCTCTGGAAGCTCATTCGGGACTTTTTGCGGTGGTGACATGCCCACCGCGCCCCGTAGCCCCACTCCCCCCGTTCTCCACTCCTCCACCACCCCACCCCCACCTGCCCGGTTCCTCCTCCTCCGCTCCTCCATGCAAGTGCGTGCGCGCTGCAGGAGCGCGGGGGCAGGCACCTGCTGGTGCTGGCTACCCCCTGCCCCTGCCTGGTGCCTCCCCGGACCCCCCGGGGGTGAGGTGGGGGCTCTTGTGGGGGACACAGCCAGCCGGGACTGGGCTCGCTGCTCACGGAGAGGGTCTAACCGAGGTCAGTATTAGACTAATGATACCGTTTCTGTTTTTGTTGTTGTTTTTTTAAATTAAAATCTCAAACGAAAAAAAAATGTTTTAGTTCCTACCTCCCCTTAAAGTGGTGGACCTCAGCAGTAAAGAATTTGATGTGTTTTTGTTAAGCGGCCTTAGCGGTGGTGACTGGAGGGGCCTTGGGCTGGGGGGACCCCAAAATGGCAGTGGTGCCTGGGGAGGGGATGCCAGGGGTTGGGCACACACGTATACAAGTGGCAGCCACAAACTGCCAACATTGGAAATGGTGCGTGGATGTGTGTGTGTGGTTGTGGGCATTTGTGTGTAATTGTGTATGTGCTGTACATGGTATGTAGTTGCATTTCTCCATTTGTTGTGTGGTTGTGTGTGTATCTGCTTGTGTGTAGTGTGTATGATTGTGTGTGTAGATCTGTACGTGGTTGTATTTGTGGGTCTGTGTGGTTGTATATGTGTGGCTGTGTGTGTGCCATGCATGGTACGTAGTTGCATTTCCCCGTGCATGTGTGGTTGTGAGTAATGTGTGATTATGTTTGCATGTAGATCTCTGTGTTGTGTGTAGCTGGATTTGTGTGTGGGTCTGGGTGGTTGTATTTGTGGGTGTGTGTGGTTGTGTATGTGTGCTGTTTTGTGTGGGTCTGTGTGTAATTGTGTGTGGAGGCGTGTGTGCTGGTCATGTGATCATCCCGGCACTGGGCGAGGTGCCCCGTGGGCAGTGTCTCAGCCTGTTTTTCCCAGAACTCAGTGACTTGGGCACTGTTGCTGTCTCCCGTTGCCCCTGAGTAGAAATCAGTTGGCTAGGATCACACAGCAAGGAAGAGGGGACACTGTGAAGCACGCATGCGCGCGCACACACACACACACACACACACACAGCAGGCCCTGGGCCCAGGCAGTGGCTCGCAGGCCCGCAGTAACCTTCCAAGGCCAGGACAGCTGCCTCCCTCTTCCACAGCTGTGGGGATTGACATCCTGAGCGGGCAGGGGACTTACTTCCCACAGTCCTGTGGCAGGACACAGCTGACCCAGAATTGAAACCACCCTCTGGGGGGGCTAAAGCCTTCCCACCTCCACGCCCTGTCCACTGCAGCCCTGCTGGCTTCTCCCCCTCTCCCCACTACCCTGTTCACTCCTCCTGCTTCTCCTGCCCTCTCCCAGACTGCTTGGACTCCACCAGGGTCCTCTACCCTGGAATTCAGTAAGGTTGAGCCAAGAAGGATCTGGTAGCATCTGATTGCCTGCTTTGCCCTGCTGCCCTAAGCTGTCCCCAAGCCTGGCCTAGCCCTTCCTAGAGACGAAGGTGGCGGCCAAGCAACAGTGAGTGGCACACGGAGAGCGATGGGGCAGAGTGGGGAAGCCCCTGGCTATGACACCTCCTGGCTCCTTCAGCACCAGCCCCTCTCTCCCCAGGGATGCAGGCACAGGACTTTCCGATTTTCAACCAGCCCCTGTTGGCAGAAATTGCAGCTTTTATAGGAGCCCTACTTGTGTCGAGTTTAAGGCCAAGCGCTGGATGCCTTCTTCAATTATCTGCAGCCTCTCGGCTTCAGAAATTACATCTCAGAGAGGTTAAGTGACCTACGCAGAGTCACACAGCAAAGTGGACCAAAGTCCAGCATTACAGCTGAGATCCTCCCCGGGCTTGTGTTAGTCCTGCCTCCTAAAGTTGAGCCTTGGGCCTAAGCAGGGAAAGGGGGTAGAGGGAATTGCAGGGGGAAAGGGAGGGGGAATGGGAGAGGTGGGGAGAGGGAGAGGTGGGGATGGGGTGGAAACTGGCCCAGTTTTCTGATGCTGTCCTAGTTTTAGATCTCAAAGTTCCACAGCCCAAGAAATGCCCTCAGTCCTAGGTACCCAGGACCAGTGGTCACCCCGGGGAGTGATTGGACCTCACCAGTCCCTGGGGGCCACAGCCGCACCTTCCTCATTGTCGTCTTTCTTAAGCATATCCTTGACTTTATTTATTCTTAGGGAGAGAAACAAGCCAGAAAGTGCCAAGAACCTTGACTAATTATAGGATGAAATGTTACTGGTCTCCATGTATGATGTAATATCTTTCCACTTCTATCAATGGAAGATTAGTGATAACGTATTGACTGGTATTGTGGCATAGCAAGTAAAGCTGCTACCTGCAGGACCGGCATCTCATACAGGTGCCGGTTCGGGTCCTGGCTGCTCCACTTCTGATCCAGCTTCCTGCTACTGTGCCTGAGAAAGCTGTGGAGGCCTGTCCAAGTGTTTGGGTTCTTGTACCCGCATGGGAGACCCAGGAGAAATATCTATCTGACCCAGCCGTAGCCGTGCCAGCCACTGGGGAGTGAATCAGTGGATGGAAGGTCTCTCTGTCTCTCTGCCTATAACTCTATCTTTCCAATAAATAAAAGAAATGTTTTTTTTTATTAGATATAACTTAGTGATCAATATACTAATATCCCGGGCTTGAGGAATCTTGTATCATGCCAATAACTGTATTATATTCTATTAAATTATTAGTATTGTTGTTATTGGTCCTTAGGGCTCCAGTGAGAGAAAATCTGGCAGATGGCAGGTGCCAAAAAAATGAATGAATGTTGGCATTGACAATCTGTGGCTTTGTTCAAAGAGCATTGCAGCTACTCATATTTAATAAATTGCTACTTTCATGAGTAGCCCTAGCTTGGTGCTAAGAGGGAACAGGAGTGATTGGCCCCCTTTCCTCCCCAAGATGGTGACCAAAACTTTCCAAGCAATTAGCTTGGGTCACAGAGCCAGGTGGCCATGAAGGCAGGATGCAAACTCAGGACTGAAAACAAGGGATTCCCTAAGGCCTTCACAGCTGGAGGTCGGTGCAGCCAGGCTGCTCTTACCACACCTGGACAGCAGGAGGTGCCAAGCAGCCATGTTAGGGCTTGTCCCGCCCTTCTTGACAGGTTGGCATTGGTACCCACAGGAGCCAGGCATCTGTGTGTCTGATGCCTGGAAACTAGAGCAGGGAACTTTACTGTCGCTTGCAAAAAAAAAAAAAAATTTGAGTCTGGCATCATGGTATGGCATATTCAGTCTCTGCCTGCAATGCTGGCATCCCATGTGGGCACTGGTTCAAGTCCCAGTTGTCTTGCTTCCTATCCAGCATCTTTTAGAAATAATCCATAGAACCATCTATTCGTCTCTGCTTTGGAATGAGCTAAGATACAAAATCCCTTTGACTGTCACCCTATTTGGAAGTAGAGTCCTTGTAAAAGTAAGCATGTTATAGGGAGGTCACTCATGGGCCCTAACCCAATATGATCAGTGTTATCAGAAGTAGAAATGGGGACAGGCATTTGGCACAGTGGTTAAGAAGTCACTTCAGATGGGGGCTGACATTGTGGCAAGGCAGGTTAAGCTGTCCCCCCACCCCCCGTGATGCCAGCATCCTCTATTGGAAGTACCAATTCAAATGCAGGCTGTTCTACTTCCAATCCAGCTCCCTTGTCTGTGCACTCCCTGAAAGCTGTAATGGCCAGACCTGAGCCAGGAGCTTTTCCTGGGTCTCCCATATAGCCATCCTATGATGCTTTCCCAGCCCACAGGCAGGGAGCTGGATGGGAAGTGGAGCAGCCGGGACATGAACTGATGTCCATATGGGATGCTGGTATTTACAATTCGAGGATTATCCAATTAAGCCACTGTGCCAGCCCCTAAGAATAATTTCCTTTTAACACTGAATTGTCAACTTTATTTTTTGTTGAAAGCTAAGAGAGAGAATTCCTATCTAGTTCACTTCTTACAGTGTCTCAATAACCGGGGCAGGGCCAGACTAACAGCAGGAGCCCAAAATTCAATGTGGATCTCCCACATGGTGGCAGGAGCCCAGTCATTAAATTGTCACCTGCTGCCTCTCCGGGGTGCACACTCAGCTGCAATGGGCAGCAGAGCCAGGACTCTCAAACCCAGGCACCCTGGTCAGGGGAGTGGGAACCAATAGGGGCTTCACTGCTGCACCAAAGATCCACCTAAGAGAAGATGCATGAAATGGACCTCAAAGGAGGCTGGGAAAGGAACCGGGGGAACACGGGCCAGTGGGTGTGCAGTTTGCAGTTTTTTTTTTAAAGGTCACGGGGAGCCCTGGGATGCTCTGGAGGATGGGAGGACCCACTCCAGGGGCAGAACCAGCACTCTGTTACTCCAGTGAGGCAGGTGGCAGGTGCACCCAGGCCCCAGCCACGGTGAACGGGAAGGATGAGGGGAGTTGACACAGGCTCGGAGGTGATTCCTGTGCACGGGTGACCTAGGTTCCATGGCGTCACTCCTCACTAGCAAGGAGAGAATGGTTCTTAACCCACAAGAGGAAGCTGCAGAGAGGAGAAATTACTTTGGTGTGGGAATGCAGTTGGCATACAAGAAATGCAAGCTTAAGCAAAGAAGGAAGCTTAAGGGGGAGGAGGAAAAGGAGCAGCAGGAGGTACTGGCAGCAGGGACCCAAGGTAAGGGAGGCCCACCCAGGGCTGGGGTCAGGTCTCTGCCTTGGCTCCCCCTATGACTGAAGCTCTAGCTTACGGACCTGTGGGGAGCTCCCTGTGCCCTTAGCAGGAGCTGATCTGCTCTTAGGCAGGCTAAAGGGAGCATGTCCTGGGCATGACAAGGTCACCCACACACAAACGCTGCTAGTGCCAGGTGCATGTGAGCCAGGGCCATGAACCAGCATCAGGCAGGTCCAGCGATCCTGAGCGCACCTCAGTGACTCCCTCAACCTCAGGCACAGTTCTTCCCTTGGTC